ATTCTTCCCCCATGCCTGTCCACCAACGTCCGCCCATTTCCACCAGATGGTGCCTTCCCCCCCAGCCCAGCCCCCATGCATCCAGGAACACCGCCGCGTCCTTCTCTCCGTTCCTCTCTGTCGCCTTCGCAAGACTTCATCTCACCGAGTCGCTGACAACAAGACGCCCATCCTCATCCCATCCCTTGCGAAACGCTTCCGGGCGCTCGATCTGGCCTTGTCAGATCCCTCGAGTCGCCACGACCCACCACCAATCACCTCGCCTCAACTCTCGAACATTTGAACCCTCGAATCTCCCTGCTCCCCCTCACGACTCACCACTGGAATGCCGCCGTTCAGATACCCGCCCAACGTGTGATTATTGACCCTCCACATCGAATTCTGCCATAATCATTGCCGGTAGCCTTCATTGCTGCCGCTGCTGCCGCCAGCCTCCCTCTGCGGTTCCCAGGAGACGCTCCGTCCCGTCCCAAGGCGGGCCATTACGACCCCGCCCACGCCCCAAGCCCCAGGGACTCCCGCCGTCTAGACCATGGCATCGCACCGGGATATAGAGCTCAACACACTCAAGTTCAAAGAGGACTCCTTAGGCCAGGGGAGCAGCTACAGCATGCGCGACTTCAGCCTGCGCGAGCCCGTCTACGACGCCTCCTCCAACCCTTCTCGCTGGAAGCCGCTTCGCGAGAGCTTCCAGCGCGATCCCGACCGCAGCATCCTGCCCAAACCGTCCAGCGCCACCGGCTTCCTCGACGAGGATGGCGAGGAGCACGAGCTCGACCCTCATTACTATGACCTGCGCCAAGCCACTCTGCAGACCGTCAACTCGAACCTCGTGAGGAGTCTTAAGGGCCGTCACCTACAGATGATCGCTATTGGAGGCTCCATCGGTACCGGTCTGTTTGTTGCTTCAGGCCGGGCCCTCGCCAACGGAGGGCCAGCTTCCTTGCTCATCGCCTTTTCTCTCGTCGGCGCCATGCTGTACTGTACGTGTCAGGCTCTCGGTGAGCTGGCCGTGACCTTTCCCGTCGCCGGATCCTTCTCGGCCTACTCGACGCGCTTTATCGACCCCTCTTGGGGCTTCGCCATGGGATGGAACTATGCTTTCCAGTGGCTTATTGTTTTGCCGCTGGAGATTATCGCCGCTTCTATTACCATCAACTATTGGGATGAGTCGGTGACGCGCGCCATCTTTGTCACCATCTTCCTCATCGGTATTATCGGCATCAATATGTTCGGCGTTAAGGGTTATGGCGAGGCCGAGTTCATCTTCTCTCTCATCAAGATCATTGCCGTCATCGGCTTCATCTTGCTCGGCATTGTTCTCAACATTGGTGGCACCCCGGGCGAGGGTTATGTTGGTGGGCGCTACTGGCAAAACCCGGGCGCCTTCAACAACGGCTTTAAGGGCCTCTGCTCCGTCTTTGTCACTGCCGCCTTCGCCTTTGCCGGCACCGAGCTGGTCGGTCTCGCGGCTGCTGAGACGGCCAACCCGCGCAAGTCCCTGCCTACCGCTATTAAGCAGGTTTTCTGGCGCATCACGCTATTCTATATTGTCGCCCTCACCCTTGTCGGCCTTCTCGTGCCACACAACGACCACCGTCTAATGGCCGTCGAGTCCCCGATCAACGCTACCGCCTCCCCATTCGTCATCGCTATTGAGGAAGCCAAGATAAGCGTCCTTCCCGATATCATGAACGCCGTCATTCTTATCGCAGTCCTCTCCGTCGGCAACTCGGCCGTGTTCGGTTCCTCCCGTACTCTCGCCGCTCTGGCCGACCAGAACCAGGCCCCCCGCATCTTCTCGTACATTGATCGCAAGGGCCGGCCTCTGATGGCCATCGGTGCCGCCGCCGTTATCGGCCTCCTCTCTTACATCGCGGACATGCCTGAGCAGTCCGACATTCTTGACTGGCTCCTCGCTACTTCAGGACTGTCTTCAATCTTCACATGGGCCTCCATTTGCTATTGCCACATCCGCTTCCGCCAAGCCTGGGGCGCCGCCGGCCATCACCCGAGCGAGCTCGCCTGGCGGTCCCAGGTCGGCGTCACCGGCTCTTGGTGCGGCCTCATCATGAACTGTATCGTCCTCGTGGCCCAGTTTTGTGTAGGCGCATGCCCATCGAGGTCGACGAGCTTGACAGCAGAGGCATAGCAAAAGTCCTTCTTCCTGCGCTACCTGGCTGCCCCCG